CGATATTAACCATTTGTTACAGCTCTCCTCGCTCAAGCGATGGATTTCTCGCTTGAGCGAGAGTTGATCTGCGCGAAATAATCGATCATAATCTAAAATAATCGATTATTTTAATACGTGAACAATAAAGAGTGCTAGTTGGGTAAATAATGAGTGCTAGTTGGGTAAATAATGTTTCAGATGTGCTATTTTGGGAAATATTTTTGAAAATAGTATTATTTATGAAAAAAAGTCCACAAAAAACGTATTATTAATAATTAGATGTAACTCTAATTTAACTTATTAGATGAGGTTTAAATTTTATTTATTTATTATAATTTAATCTTATCTTCAATCAATTTTTAACATAGTTGTTTATATTAAAGAATTATCATTTTAAGGGTGTGAAATTAAATATTGATGGGTGTCCTTGTTGGGATAAAGATATTTGATTAGTTAAATTATAAGTTTGTATAACGGTACACATTGCGAGAGAGGGAAAAATTGTCCTACATCCGTGGGAAGGTGAAACCTCTAACAGAGAACGATGAGGGATATGAAAAATGGTTACTGAAAACCAAAAAATGAAAAGATGACTATTGATGTCCATAAAGCCAGAAATCATGAAAATGTATCTTCGCTTACCCACTGCCCTTGATATTTGGAATGTTTTGTCAAAGGTATTTTATGATGGAAGTGATGAGCTACAGGTATTTACCCTGAATCAAAGGGCATTCATTGCAAAACAAAATAATAGAACCTTAACTGAATATTATGGGGAGTTGGTTGAGATTTTTAGGAAATTGGAACATCGTGACAAAGTAGTCATGAAGGACCCTGATGATGTGAAGTCATATCAGAAGTCCATTGAAAGATTAAGGGTGCATATATTCCTTGTTGGACTGGATGATGATTTTGAGCAAGTTCGTGGAGAAATCTTGCGCAAGAAAGTGACACCTGATTTAGAAGAATGCTATGCATTGATCCGGAGAGAGACAGTCTGACGAATAACGTTGAAAACAGAAGATATGATTTCTGATTCCACAACTATGATGACAAAGAAGCAGCCAACAAATCATCACAGCAAATCGAAGTAATCAAAAGATTTTGAAAAAGGTAACTACAAGTGTACTCATTGTAATAAGGATAGACACACCAAGGAACGATGCTATGAAATCATAGGATACCCCGAGTGGTGGGATCATAGTCGAGCGTCGAAGAAGAATTAAAAAAGAAATTCAACTGTTATTGCTGTAATTGCTATTGACAAAGAGGATGACAAAGACATGATGTTTGCTACAATCGCAGGTAGTGATGATTCCAATGGTAAGGCTTTAATAAGCACATCTACCGTTCTGAATAATGCATGGATAATTGACTCTACGTGTTCTGATTATGTGACTTTTGATGTTAGACAGATTAAAAATCTTAAACCTTCCTCACAAAAAAGTATTTCCACAACCAATGGTAGTAAATCCACTATTATTGGAGAATGAACTGTCTCTATTTCAAACAATTTGAATCTTGATATTGTCCTTGTTGTTTCTTCTCTTAAATATAACCTATTGTCAGTCTCACAAATAACCAAAGCTCTTTTATGTGTTGTAATTTTTGGGTCTGACTCTTGTGTTTTTAAGGACATTCAAACGAGGAAGACGATTAGTTGTGGTGTTAGGCGAGAAAGGTTGTATTACCTGAACCTGATAGAAAAAGATTCAAAGAGACTTGGTCAAGTGCTAACAACAAAAGGGTCTCAAGAAGTAAGAAAAGGTGATGATATTTGGTTATGACATAAGCGTCTAGGACATGCATCTTTTGGTTACATAAAGAAATTATTTTCAAATGTATTTGACTAAGTAGATACTTCAACTTTTTATTGTGATGTTTGTGAGCTTGCAAAGAGTCATAGAACATATTTTTCTTTAATTTCAAATAAAAGTTCTCTTCCTTTTATGATCATTCACTCTGATGTATGAGGTCTATCTAAGGTTACAACATTGGGTGACTCAACATGGTTTGTAACGTTTATTGATGATTATACTCGAATGACTTGATTATGTTTGATGAAGTCTAAAAGTGAAGTTAGAGAGGACTATTTCATAAATTCTGCAAAATGATTGAGACCCAGTATAAAGCACAAGTTTAGGTACTGTGCAATGACAACGAAGGAGAATATATGCAATCAAAACTTCAATATTTTGTAGTAGTCAAAGGAATTGTTCATCAGAGATCTTGTCAAAATACTCCACAACAGAATGGGGTGGCAGAACGAGAGAACCGTCATCTATTGGAGGTGGTCTGAGCTGCACTGATTGGAGCTCACATGCCAGCAATATATTGGGGAGAAGTTCTTACATATGCAGTATACACTATCAACCGAACACCATTCAGGTTTCTTGAATATAAAACACCTCTTCAATCACTTACAGATGCAATAGTAAGTCCTAAAATTTCTGAACTAACACAGAGTTTTTGATTGTGTTGCTTATGTTCACTTACACAAGCATCAGAGAAGTAAGTTGTCTCCTAGAGCTGAAAGGTGTGTGTTCCTTGGTTATGCGGATCACTATAAAGGATATCGGTGCTACAATCCACAAACCAAGCAAATGTTTACTACTATAGATGTAATTTTTCATGAAACTTTGATATATTTTTCCCCCCGAGTCTGAAATTCAGGGGGGAAAATTATGATGAAGTTCAGACTTTTGTTTCTCAAGAAATTGATATTGAGGTCAGATTGGAGAAACAAAGTTACAAAGTTGTATCAGGAGATGATGAAAGTATGCAACAATATTATGATCAACAACCACATAATGAGGAATATTTTGTGCATGTCGAGATCGAAAATTTGTCTGTTGATGCTGATGATATACCACACCAATCGTCCCCTCAAGAACCTAATACAAAAAAAAAGAATTTTGTCAGATCGTGTCACTAGAGATATCCCTAAGCCTACTTATGATCCTGATCTCACCAGTAAGACAAGATACCCTATGAGTAATTATATTTGTAACCAGAATTTGTCTAACTCAAATATCACACTTATAAGTCAATTATCTACTATATCTATTTCTAACAGTGTGTAGGAAGTTTTAGCTGACTCCAGGTGGAAGGATGCTATGAATGAGGAAATGAGATCCTTGCAAAGAAATAAAACATGGGAATTAGTAGATTGTCCAGTTGGAAAGAAATCGGTAGGATGCCGATGGGTGTATACTGTGAAATTTAATGCAGATGACACAATTGAGAGATTCAAAGTTAGATTGGTGGCAAAGGGGTACACACAAGCATATGAAATAGATTACACTGAAACGTTTGCTCCCGTAGCCAAAATTAGTACAGTTCGAGTATTGTTATCTCTAGCTGTAAACCTTGACTAGTCCTTACAACAATTTGACGTAAAAAAATGTCTTATTACGCGTGGAATTGTCTGAAGAAGTTTATATGGAGCTACCAGAAGGATGTGAGATCCCGAATACACATAGCAAGAAGGTATCTAAGTTGAAAAAGTCATTGTATGGACTAAAACAATCGCCACGAGCATGGTTTGATAGATTCACCAAGTCAATGCTTGTTTCTAAAGAAAAAGGGAGGAAAGATTACAATTCTTATTGTCTATGTTAGTGACATGATAGTTACGGGAAATGATCTAGAGGAACGTAAGACATTGAAAGAGTACTTGACAAAGGAATTCGAGATGAAAGATCTTGGTCCTTTGAAATATTTTCTTAGAATTGAGGTCTTAAGATCAAAGTCAGGTATTTTTCTCTCACAACGAAAGGATGCATTGGATTTACTGAAAGAAACTGGAATGACAGCATGCAAACCAACAAATTTTCCAATTGAAGAGGGATTGAAGTTGTACATTGAAGAAGATCAAACTCCAACTAACAAGGGAAGATATTAGAGACTTATAGGGAGATTGATGTATCTCTCACACACTAAGCCAGATTTAGCTTATGTTCTTAGTGTGGTTAGCCAGTTCATGCACAATCCAGGTGAAAAGCACATGGATGCTATTATACGGATTTTAAGGTACATAAAAGTTGCGGGAAAATGAGTTATGTTCAAGAAGAACTCCAATTACAAGGATGTGATGGTTTATGCTGATGCAGATTAGGCAGGTGCTCTTGATGATAGAAGATCAACCTCTGGATACTTTACATTTGTAAGAGGTAATCTTGTCATATGGAAAAACAAGAAGTAGAAAGTTGTAGCTAGATCCAATGCAGAAGCTGAATTTAGAGGAATGGTTCTTGGACTTTGTGAAGGTTTGTGGCTTAGTCTACTTTTCCAAGATTTAGGGTATGCACATACACGTCTCATTCAGTTATATTGTGATAATAAAGTTGCGCGCGACATTGCTCACAACCCTGTCCAATATGATCGGATGAAACATGTGAAGGTTGATAGATTTTTCATCAAGGAAAAGCTTGATAAAAATATTTTGGAATTGCCAAATATTCGATCTGAAGATCAGCTGACAGACATTCTTACCAAAGTTGTGACAAGTCAGATTTTTAGGAGATTATTGGATAACTTGGAAATGTATGACATCTATTTACCAATTTGAGGGGAAGTGTTGGGATAAAAATATTTGATTAGCTAAATTATAGGTTTGTATAACAGTACAAAATATTGTATAATCAGAACTTCCTTTATTTAGTCTCAATTTGTTGGAGTAAAATACTATAAGATCATATTATCTGTGTACAAAAATAATATGAATAAAAATTATAAAATTTAATAAAAATTATAGAATGAATTTTATGTTTTTCAATTGTCCCAATACGAAGGATAATAACATTTTGTATTAATAGTTTTTGCTCTTGTTGTATATTTTATCATTACTACGTATATTTTCCGGTTATGGCACTCTATATTACAGGGTCCCTGAATGATGTTTTAGGACCAGAACACCATAATATTTGTATAATCACCAGGTATATTTATCATGTTTCTTAAGTTGCGTATACAAGAATGAAAACAACACAAACACAGGCTCCAACAATAAGCTAGGCATGGAATTGAAGGTAAACCAATTAAAAGTTAGGTTTGTGCATGTAATTTGGTCCAACTGAAATACCTATGACTCTTGTCACATGAAACAGAACAGAGATGGAGGTTGGGGATTCCACATAAAGGGTCACAGCACAATGTTTGGGTCAGCGTTGAGCTACATTGCCTTGAGAATTCTTGGTGAAGGACGTGAAGATGGCGAAGATAGGGCAATGGCTAGAGGCAGAAAATGGATCCTTGACCATGGTGGTTTAGAAGCTATTCCATCATGGGGAAAGTTCTGGGCCACGGTAACTAATATATCATTTATCATTATTTGTGACCAATTTAACTAAATATCTTGTAGAGGTAAACACAAGTGTAGAACATATTAAACAATAAGTATTAGATGTTATTAGATGATACTAGACTATATAGTTCAGATTACTCATGATATAACAAAGTGTTATTTTCTATTTGTGAATTAAAAAACTTGAATACATATCATATTACTAATTTCTTAATAAGTATATATATATATATATATATATATATATATATATATATATATATATATATATATATATTGCATTATGCAGATCCTTGGAGTTTATGAGTGGTCAGGGTGCAATCCACTTCCACCAGAAATATGGCTTTTGCCCAAATACACCCCAATTCATCCAGGTTTACTACCTTGTCTCATAATCATATAATTAAATCTGGGGAGGGAAAGGGGAATGAAAAATACTTATTTTTTATCTGCAATTATTTGCTTATTAAAGTTCTCTTCTATGTATATGTATCATGCAGGGAAAATACTATGCTATTGTCGCTTAATTTACATGCCCATGTCATATTTATATGGGAAGAAGTTTGTGGGTTCTATTACCAAGTTAATCATATCACTAAGAGAAGAAATGTATAACCACCTTATGATCAAATCGATTGGAATCAATCCGATATCTGTTGAATTATTGGTAAGCGTACCAAAATTATCAATCGCAGTATAGTATTTCGATAAAATAAAAGTCGATCCCACGAGGAACAGTTTTAATGAAAATTCCCAATTATGCTTACTAAGTATATTAAACAGATTGGATTTTGCAATTAAGAGTTGAGTTGAATTTAAATGATAAAGAACGGTAAATTGTTGAAAAAATATCAATTAAAGGTACTTAGGATTGACTTCCTTCCTTATCCCTCTTTTGTAATGGTTATGTCAATTAAGAACATCAATTAACCTAACAATGTTGATGCCACCTACTCAAATCATCCATGTTGATTCCTCACACATGAAATTCATAAGAAAACCTAATAAATGTTGATTCCTCACACAATTAACAGATTTTCCAGCATTAGGGTTAGGGTGTTTAAGCAATTGATACATTCATTCTATTCCTGGCAATTAACGTAACAAATATTCTTACCGTGATCTAGGGTTTAAGATATATTTTCCAATCATACCTCAAACAATCAAGAATAAATCATTCCAAAGCATAAAAGATAAGAATAACAACATCAAAGCATAGATTAATATCTCAAAATATCACAATTGATACAAAAGAGTTTAAAGGAAGTGCACCGAATCCTAAGAGAATGAAGTTAGTCACTCATGTTGACCATTATAATGCTCCAATTGATGAAGAAAAGTGAAGAATTGATGAAGATTAGACAAAACCCTAACAGTAGTCGTGTCTCCTCTCCTCCAAGACTGCTTGTTTTTCTCAAAACACAACTTATCTTTTTATAAGAAAATTTGGGTCGGGCCTCGCATCTTTCATTCGCTTAAACGTTCTTCTTTCTTTAAATTTTACTCCAATTATGCTGATAATTGTGCTCCTTACTCTTGTATCAAGGTATTCTCGAATTCATCCTATATTGAGAGAAAAATATATTAAAATTAACATAAGTGAAGTGATTTCATAATAATTTAAGGCATAATTATATCAATTTTTTACCACTTAACAATCTCTATAACCCACGTACTCTGATTCAAGATATGTTATGGGCATCTCTTCATCATATAGTAGAGCCTCTTCTGAACCGCTGGCCCTTTTCCATGCTGAGAGAGAAGGCACTAAAAGTTGCAATGGATCACATACGCTATGAAGATGAGAATAGTAGATTCCTTTGCATTGGTAGTATAGAAAAGGTAGCATAATAACAAGGCTGCTTAACCCCTTAAAAAACATCATTGTTGCTATTTAGAACATTGAAGTTGATTACTGAATGGAGTTTTCCACATGTCAGGCGCTACGTTTGATTGCACGTTGGGTCGAAGATCCCAACTCAGAGTCATACAAACTTCATTTAGCCAGAATTCCGGATTACTTTTGGCTTGCAGAAGATGGCTTGAAAATTCAGGTTAGTATCATTACCACTTTATGGACCTGTTTGAACACAACTTTTCCATAATCACTTTTAAGACAAAAATAAAATAAAAAAAAGGGTTAAAATGAGCTTTTGTAAGCTAAGAATTTATAGAAGTTATATAAGAAAGCTTCTACAAGTTGCATTATGCATGAGTAGTTTTAACTGATGAAGATACTCATTTCATTTTTGACTTATTTTGTTCTACTAGAAGTGCTTATGAGAAACTTTTCTAAACAGATTTTATGTCAATAATCAAAATCTAAAAACTGTACAAGTTACTGTTAGTCGCAAAATGACAAATAGGAAAATGCACTCATGTGAATGCACTGAAAAAAATTGCAGAGTTCTGGTTGTCAACTGTGGGATGCTGCGTTAGCCATACAAGCAATCCTTTCATGTGATTTGAGTGAAGAGTATGGACCAACACTTCAAATAGCACATCATTTCGTGAAGGCTTCTCAGGTTACACTTAATATGCGTATGGCATAAACGTGAAGAATCCTAAAAATCAGAACCATAATAATCAGAAAGTTGATGCCGTTTCTTTCTTGAGTGAAGGTACGTGAAAGTCCATCAGGCGACTTTGAAGCAATGCATCGACACATATCCAAAGGAGCATGGACATTCTCAATGCAGGATCAAGGTTGGCAAGTTTCTGATTGCATAGCAGAAGGATTAAAGGTTCATAAAATTCAATCCATAATTTAATGCATGTTTAGTCCAACTTACTAAAAAAATATAATTGATTATACCTAACATGCACTTCAATTATCAACTTTGAGTAAAATTTGACATAGTGCAAGCACACTCTCTACAGGCTGCACTTCTATTGTCACAAATGCCTGTTGACCGAGTAGGTGAGAAAATGGAAGATGATAGATTTTATGATGCTGTGAATGTGATCCTATCTCTTCAGGTGTGATTTTCCCTAATTAGAATGCACCATGTAATTTTTAACTGTAATTTTGATTTTGTAACTAACTACATTTAACACTACATAGCAACAATGGAGGATTCCCTGCTTGGGAGCCTCAAAGAGCCTACCGTTGGATAGAGGTAGGAAAATGAGTTTTCTTAATTCGTGAAACAAAATATGTTTCATTACATTGTCATGACTGAGAGATACACTCATGTTTACTACTGCAGAAATTGAACCCAACGGAAATATCTGAAGACATTCTTGTTGAGATGGAGTAAGATTACACTTATTCTGGCAAATTAAATGTATTGTTGTTGTTCATGCACTATTTTATCCAATTCTCTCTACTTACTGTATTGAATGTTGTGAGATAGGCATGTGGAGTGCACATCATCGGCATTGCAGAGCCTGACTTTGTTTAGAAAGTTGTACCCAAAACACAGAAGAAAGGAAATCGACTATTACATTTCCAAAGCAATCCATCTGTAAAGAAAGATTCTTACCTTTCTCTTCTCTCTGATGCACAAAGATGAATGAGAAACAAACTTCTTTTTGAATTCTGAATGATGATTGACTTTACAAAGAATGGCTTATTTATAGCCTCTGGTCCCTACCTTTTATTTTAGAACTAACTATTAAAAGATAAAACAGAAAATAAATCTTATCTAATTTCCACTTTTATTGCGGAACTAACTATTAAAAGATAAAACAGAATGACATATAACAGTTTTCCCTCCCATGAAAGCAGATCTTGTCCTCAAGGTCTGTCAACGTGGAACACGTCATGTATTTTGGTTCCAGCAGGTAACTTAAGTTTGTAAGCCACTTTTCCTATTTCCTCTAACACTTTATATGGCCCAAAGTATCTAGCTGCAAACTTTTTTCTCTAAGTGTTAAAAGACAATCCACAACAGCTTTCATAGACCCCTTTTCTAGGTCTGATATTTCAAACCGGGGCAATCCTACTGCGTCCAAAGCTTTCAGAAACGATTTAACATTTTCTGATTGTGATGGCAGAGAATTATCAGGTTCACTAATCACATTCACAATACCAAGTCGTAGCTTGTTCAGTATCTGGCACAAAACTGTACCATTGCTTAAACATGCTCTTAATTCATCGTCTGTGACATTTGGTGGAAATTTCAATAAAGGAAGAAGGCTAGTTAACCACTGAACCAAAATCAATCTACGTTTGGCTTTCTCTGTAGAGATCTTCTTGTCTAATTCTTTATTAATATCATCCTGTAATCGTGTTAGACGTATTGCTTCTTGGATGAATTTAGGGTTATGAAGACGAACTGATTTCTCTAAAGGACTTTCCAAAACTGCGAGGAAGAAACTGAGAGCCATGCCTTCGGAGATCATCACACGCGCTAACAAAGAATCAAAATTTTCAAGATATTCAGGCAAAGATTCTTGTTGCCATAAGCGCGAGATTTCAGCAATAGGGTCATCGTAGGCTCCATCATCAAATCTGTTTCCTACATCAAGCAAGATATCGGTCCAAGATTTCGACTGAAGTCTGGGTTTTTATGTAATGTCGTTGCCATGCGAAGGCGTTGCCTTCCATGGATAACGGAGCAGTTTCCCTCTTTGGTTTCTCGATGTTCCTTCTAATTCAAAAAATTGCTCTGCCTTGGCTTGCCAAACCCTAAAGTTTGTGCCATCAAAATTGGGGAATTGGAGCTGTGCACGATGTAATACTGACGTAGTAGATTCGCTTTCATCGTCGTTCGGAGGTGGAATGTTGGTTCCTGCTGTTAACGCCGCCACGGAAGCTGCTAAAGTCTGCATAGTTTTCTGCATCGCCAACAATGTCGTATTCGTTTGTTCTTGTGAATCTGCAAGAGATTTCTCCAAGGATGCCACACGCGTTTCGAGTTCCTTGTTGGTCACCATGGTCGTTGCCTTTCAACTGATACCAATTGTAAAGAAATATTCTTACCTTTCTCTTCTCTCTGATGCACAAAGATGAATGAGAAACAAACTTCTTTTTTAATTTCTGAATGATGATTGACTTTACAAAGAATGACTTATTTATAGCCTCTGGTCCCTACCTTTTATTTTGGAACTAACTATTAAAAGATAAAACAGAAAATAAATCTTATCTAATTTCCACTTTTATTGCGGAACTAACTATTAAAAGATAAAACAGAAAATAAATCTTATCTAATTTCCACTTTTATTGCGGAACTAACTATTAAAAGATAAAACAGAATGACATATAACAGTTTTCCCTCCCATGAAAGCAGATCTTGTCCTCAAGGTCTGTCAACGTGGAACACGTCATGTATTTTGGTTCCAGCAGGTAACTTAAGTTTGTAAGCCACTTTTCCTATTTCCTCTAACACTTTATATGGCCCAAAGTATCTAGCTGCAAACTTTTTTCTCTGAGTGTTAAAAGACAATCCACAACAGCTTTCATAGACCCCTTTTCTAGGTCTGATATTTCAAACCGGGGCAATCCTACTACGTCCAAAGCTTTCAGAAACGATTTAACATTTTCTGATTGTGATGGCAGAGAATTATCAGGTTCACTAATCACATTCACAATACCAAGTCGTAGCTTGTTCAGTATCTGGCACAAAACTGTACCATTGCTTAAACATGCTCTTAATTCATCGTCCGTGACATTTGGTGGAAATTTCAATAAAGGAAGAAGGCTAGTTAACCACTGAACCAAAATCAATCTACGTTTGGCTTTCTCTGTAGAGATCTTCTTGTCTAATTCTTTATTAGTATCATCCTGTAATCCTGTTAGACGTATTGCTTCTTGGATGGATTTAGGGTTATGAAGACGAACTGATTTCTCTAAAGGACTTTCCAAACCTGCGAGGAAGAAACTGAGAGCCATGCCTTCGGAGATCATCACACGCGCTAACAAAGAATCAAATTTTTCAAGATATTCAGGCAAAGATTCTTGTTGCCGTAAGCGCGAGATTTCAGCAATAGGGTCATCGTAGGCTCCATCATCAAATCTGTTTCCTACATCAAGCAAGATATCGGTCCAAGATTTCGACCTGAAGCTGGGTTTTTTGATGTAATGTCGTTGCCATGCGAAGGCGTTGCCTTCCATGGATAACAGGAGCAGTTTCCCTCTTTGGTTTACTGATGTTCCTTCTAATTCAAAAAATTGTTCTGCCTTGGCTTGCCAAACCCTAAAGTTTGTGCCATCAAAATTGGGGAATTGGAGTTATGCACGATGTAATACTGACGTAGTAGATTCGCTTTCATCGTCGTTTGGAGGTGGAATGTTGGTTCCTGCTGTTAACGCCGCCACAGAAGCTGCTAAAGTCTGCATAGTTTTCTGCATCGCCAACAATGTTGTATTCGTTTGTTCTTGTGAATCTGCAAGAGATTTCTCCAAGGATGTCACACGCGTTTCGAGTTCCTTGTTGGTCATCATGGTCGTTGCCTTTCAACTGATACCAATTGTAAAGAAAGATTCTTACCTTTCTCTTCTCTCTGATGCACAAAGATGAATGAGAAACAAACTTCTTTTTTAATTTCTGAATGATGATTGACTTTACAAAGAATGACTTATTTATAGCCTCTGGTCCCTACCTTTTATTTTGGAACTAACTATTAAAAGATAAAACAGAAAATAAATCTTATCTAATTTCCACTTTATTGCGGAACTAACTATTAAAAGATAAAACAGAATGACATATAACACCATCACATTGAAGAAACACAAAAACCTGATGGATCGTGGTATTTTTTTATCTTTCTCATGTTATCATATGAGTTTGCTGTTTTGCCATTCAATCTGTGATTCTTTTTACTCTTTTTAGCATATATTTGGATTCGCGTTCATAACTATTGTTTCACCTAAAATTCACATCAAAATCACATAGAAGTTATTGGTGTTGTAGTGTATTAGTTTCACATTCTTAATGCCTAAACTTTCCAGGTTTGGTTTTTGGGGTATTTGCTACATCTATACCACCTAGTTTGCTGTAAAGGGGTTAACATACTATGGAAAAAACTACCGTAACAGTCCTACCTTGCGTAAAGCTTGCGATTTTTTGCTGTCAAAACAACTTCCTAACGGAGGATGGGGTGAGAGTTACTTGTCAAGCCAAAAGAAGGTATAAATTACTTTGAATACACTAAACTCTGAAGAAAGAAGAAATAAGATAGTAATAATAAATTTCTATCTTGCACAAAAATATACTAAGATGTTTATTTTTTATATAGGAATATACAAATTTGAAAGGCAACAGAGCAAATCTAGTTCAAACTTCATGGGCTTTGATGTCCCTTATTGAAGCAGGGCAGGTAAGTGAATTAAAAAAAATAAAATAAAGTATTTTACTGCTATTTGTATATGGGTTGAGTTGTCATCCACTGTTTACCCAAAAATGTAAAACAAGGAATGAAAAACACGCCATATAAAGAGATATTACACACGTTGGAAAAAATACACTGAACTTTCTCATGTAGTCAGATATGTGAAAGTGAAATAAAAATGGAATAATTGGACACACCAATTGATAACGGAGTTCGGCCAAAATTGTCTACGTCTCCGGACTACTGCAGATATTTTACTGGGAGAAAAGAAAATACATAGGTGTTTACAAAACACTCTCAAAACACTCACAACCCTCAATCCAATTACACCCAGAAGCTAGATTATTTTCTTTCTGCTTCTTGCTATCTAACTCTTGTAATGGTTGCTTGGAAATTGGATGATCCAAATGAGTGAAGTGAAGGAGCATTTTATAGCAAAAAATGGTTCTTGTGCATTTAAGGCTTTCCGTGTTTTCTTGTCTCCAACCACTTGCCACCTTTTTTTGACTTTTCAAACACCAACAATCTCCCACTTGAGGACTGATTTCAATATGTCCTCACACCTTGATTAATGCAGTAGTCTTCTCTGGTCTGCTACTCTTGCAAGCCAACTGAAGTTGAGCACAACTTCATTTTGTCAATGGTCACCACCTTCGTTAGCATATTTGTTGGGTTCTTGCTTCCTATAATCTTCTTCAATGTTAACACCTCATCCTCAAGTAGAGATCTGATGAAATGATAACGAATATCAATGTGCTTGGTTCTGGAGTGAAATGTTGAATTCTTTGCCAGATGTATTGCACTCTGACTATCACTATGCAAAACACTCCCTTCTTGAGTGAATCCCAGCTCTGCTAACAGTCATTGAAGCCATATCAATTCTTTACTGACTTCTGTCACTGCTACATACTCAGCCTCTGTAGTGGATAAAGCAACATTTTTTTGTATCCGCGACATCCAACTAACAGTTGTAGTACCAACCATG